CAACAGTGCCAACCTTTGATGCCACCGACCCTGCCACCGTCTGGTTGTCCACAAACCCCATGGACACATCCTCAAAGAATGTATCCACCTCGGTCGGGGACTGGGTGGTGGGTGGGGTTTCAGAGGTGTGGGCCTCGGTGGTTAAGTCCTCCTCAGTGTACGTCCGCTCTGTAGACACGGCCGTGTAGTTGTGGACTTCTCCCGGGACAGAGGTGGTGGTCTGGTATCCTGTTGAAAAACAAAAAAAAAATCGTCGATTTCAGACTTCCGGGAAGTATTTTAGGTTTTTACGGCTTCTAGATTCACCCCATTTCCTGTGTCTGGCATTTTGACCTCCTGTTATTCCGCCTTATACCGCGTGCTGTAAACCAGCTCTGTCCGGACAAACAGACAGACAAACCCACAACTCTGCCACCCCACACAATACTTTCGTAGCCACAAAATAATCAAACTTAATATGGGTTGACTCACAGGTTTTGCGCTGAACATCCTGACAAAGTATTAGTCATAAGTCATCAAGAAATTTGACTAATGCGAGAAAATGTGGAGCATGGTGATAAATGAGAAGAAAGTGATCACGACCTAAATTAGCTAAGGTAAGGTACTACTCTTCCACTGGTCGTGACAGAGGAGGCAGGTGTAAAGTACATGTATGTACAGGTTATTGTACCGTGGTCTTTTGATGTGTACGATGAACAGTGGACCACGGATTAACTGTGGCCGATTTGTAAGACCCTTGACCTGGCTTCCTGTCAGTGTTCCCGACCTGCCTAGTATATGTCAAGGTAATTATAAGGACAGTGGGAGGAAGCGGTGGTGGATAACTAACCTTGGTCGGTAGGGTATCTGTTGTAGACCAGGAGAAACCCGATTCCTTCAATAGCTGCATCCGATCTGGATTTGCAAAGGTCAATGTCAAAGTTCAAGGTCAGTGATATCCAGGCTAAATAAAAATTAAAGGTTATTCATTTAATCACTCATTGCCTCATTTAGTGTTTGTTAGTTGCACCCCCATTCCACTAGAGGCTGCGACCGCTGAGCAACAGGTTGCTCAACGAACTTAAGCTTCTTAGACAAAGAACAAATGTCTCACACGTTTTTCCTTTAAATCATACTTTTGCATCGTGTATCATATAAATATTCCAATTATAAAATCAAGGGTGACATAATTCCAATGTTGGTGGCTCAGCGGTCGCCCAGCGTCGTTCACGACAGCAGCAATTGCTGGCTGAGCGCTCCTCGTGTATTGTATTGTATTATGGCAATCCAAATAAGATTTTTTCACAAAGCAAATCAAACTGATACGACAAACTGGCCTTGCAGGCTTCGGCAGCAGAGTGGAAATTGGCCAAATAGACAGACAACATGCCAGTGGAGTAGCCTTCTTCGCAGACTTGTTGGGCGTCGGCGTTATTTTTTTTTTCTGTGTGCGACGCGAGTAATATGCCGCGGAGGGACGATTTTGCTGCCGAGGGACTTTTTGCCGTGGAGAGAAGGTTTCGCCATCAAACCTTCTCTCCACGGCTAAAGGGGTGTGGCAAACTGTGCTTCTTTAGTGACCAACTCCACTGGCATTTATCTGTCAATTTGAACAAAATTTTTCCAGCCGCCCCCCACCCCCCAAGGCCTGGCACAGGGGCTAGCGGAAACACATACTTGAAGATGATCTCGAACTTGGAGCCGTTGATGGGATGTTTTGGAGGCAGCATTTTGTTGCAGTAAGGACCCATGGTCCGCTTACTGTCCACCGTGATCATCGTGTGGTCGTAAGAACAGTTGTCAGACATCTCCAAGTCGAAAATCTCAAACTGGATGTAGGCAAGCCTATTGAGCAAGGAGATATATTGTGGTTAAAACTATGTATGGTCGGTACTGTGAAACGTTGTAGTTAAAATTCATTTTTAATGCATAGTTAATGAGCTGCTCTAAGCTGAATTAAGAAAACATGAATAAATAAATAAGATTTTTGAATCTAAATGTTTGGCTTATTTATTACAGCACAATAAAACACAATCTTGCCCTTATCTTGGAAAGGCGATAGTCACCTGTTGTGCCAATCCTTCCACAAATGCACTACATCTCAATAGATAAATAAATAGATATCTCGTACCTGCCCGGTTCAGTCCGGATGGTCCAGGTACAGGTGGTGTTGTTTGGGTACCGCAGGGGGTAGTTTGGTGTGGTGAGGATGCCAGAACCAGCCGTCAGGTTTCCGGTACAACCTGGAAAAAAACGCGGATCAAGTCAAGTAAAACAAGAGTTCCGAGATCTCATACCTCCATGAAATATGGACTTGCTTTGTCCTCATTAATTATGCAAATAACATCTACATTAACATAATACATGCATAGCGATGCAAACCTTTAAGTAACTTACACATGTTACGAGGTATAAAATTCCCATCATTCACCAATAAGGATTCACATAATTTTCACATTAATTATGCAAATTAGGTCATCATTTGCATAATTGATATCTGTTCATGTTCCGCCTGCCACAGATTGAATAGATTACATGTATAGCAGTACAATTATATGAAACACTGTAATTATAGAATTTCCTCATTAATTATGCAAATTAAGTCCTAATTTGCATAATTTGCATTTAATCATGTACAACTGTCTCTCAGGTACCTACACACCAAAAATGATGAAAATACGTTGTTCCAATCTGGACTTATTGGCTTTAAAAGTTTTTACCAGAAACTAACCTGCAGTTCCAGAACAAGCTGCTAGGGGGACCAAACTTGCGCCACTTATTCCTGACAGGATAAGCTATCTGTCACCAAAAAGTCAAGACCATAGCTTGTTCAGGACAAAAGATACAAAAACCGGAAGTTCTGCTGCAGTACCAAGGTCATCCACCAGGAGGCCCATACTTGACCTTGACCTTTGCTTTCCAAGACTTACCATCATACCAAATATCATCACAATCCATAAAGGCGTTCTGAAGTTATGCTGACTACAAAGTTGCGGAAACACAGACAGACACACAGACACACAGACACACAGACAGACAGACACACAGACAGACACGCCAAAAACAATACCTCCATTTTTCATGGAGGTAATTAAGGACTTGTAAAACAAACGAGTCAATGATATGTCTTCTTTGATGTACAAAGTTTCCAGTGGATCTTTTAGCATTTTCTCACATCCCCTTTCTACTAGATGGGGATTGCTGAGTGACCGTTGAGCGATAAAAACTAGATTTGTGTGACCCTTGATTTTATTTGTTTATTTGAGTTTACTACCAGATATACAAGTGGAAGGGAGGACAAAACAGGTGCGTTGACACCTTTACAAGTTGTCCTCCCAAACAACTTTATAATCAGAGTATGATTCAAGAGGCGGCGATCGCTGAGTGACCAATGAGAGATCAAAATTGTGTGATACTAATGATTTTATATTATATTAGAGTGTGATGTAAAAGGATGATTTAAATGACAACAAGACATGCAAAACGTAAGAAAATTCGTTCTTTGTCCATGAAATTTGTCGAACATTTGATCGCTGAACAGTCGCTGCCTGCAGTGGAAAGGGGATGTAACTAACAGTGCTTGCCTTTTTTGTACTCCATGGTGTCTTGTCCCTGTTTTGGAGGAGTCCTGGTAGTGGTAGTTGTGTAGAGCACCAGGAACCCCTGCTTGCCGATAGACTGGTCTGAGACAAAGGTGATCTCGAAGTGGGTCCCGACCTGTGTTGTGACAGCATTAACACCTTAACACTGTCCAGAATATTCTTGTCACATGATCTGTGTGACCTTCAACTCCCAGATCACGTGACGTCATTTTCAGAGCTGAAGGAAAATGGCGGATGTCATTTGAAAGCTCACCGTACAAGCTGGACGTTCGGTAGTGCGTAACAGTTTGAAATATTCAGAGAATAGTAATGTTGAGATCAGTGACATTATTAGCTCACACACTGTTGTGAGTGCAATTTTGTAGTTCTATTGAGTCTTATGGGAGATATTTCTTGACATATCTGCTTTGGCTCGAATTGTATACTCGCTGTTATGTAACGTTAATTAATAAAAAAAATAGCAGAAAATGTTATGTTTGGTCCCTTCTTTATTCTTCAGCCTCATGGTCACGACCTCACTCTGTGGTGGTCTCCTTCTTCTGGCCTTAGTTTTCTTTGTACCTTTGCCTTCTGTCTGGATCCTACCGTACCTCTATATACAACAATTATCACAATACCGTTGAATAAATGCAGGACATTTAATGTGAAAATATGTGTTAGTTTTATTTACTGGAGCTCACGGACTAGCCACGGGCAAAAATTACTCGCTGGACAAAAAGAGGTTTAGGTACATAATTACACACACAAAAAAAAACGCCGTAATGGAACTGGATCGTTTAAAGAGTTCATTTGCACTAGACGGAAATTAGTCTGTGGGACCTACCAGTAGCTTGTTTGGGGGCATGTTGGCGTCGCAGTAAGGTCCGTTAAGGTTACCGTCCACAGTGATGGACAGGGAGTCGTAGTTGCATTTATCTTTGTTCGGCTCGATCTGCACGGTACCGATGGTCAGTTGGATGAAGCTGAAAAATTGCAGAAACAACAAGTAGGTTTTGAACACATACATGTTTGTACCCATACAAACACACACACCCACACACACATTGGCACACACACACACACACACACACACACAACAACACACACACACACACACACACACACACGCACGCACGCACGCACGCACACACACACACACACACACACACACACACACACACACACACACACACACACACACACACACACACACAAACACACCATGCTTCACTGAGAAGCGAGGAGAAGCCGAATTCATTTACTAGACTGTAATACTAGAATTACTAGACTTGACGATGTGCACATGTATCTCTCAACTATTCTTCCATTGTGACCAGTACTTATCCAGCGGGTAAATATGTACAATAAATATTTCATTCATTCATATATGACTTCAGCCCAGGTAAGCCAACAGATGTGGCGAGTGGTGCCTACCTGCCAGGAGGTGCCCTGACGGTCCAGACGCATCTCTTCTTGTTGGGGTACTCTATAGGGAAACCCGGGGACGTGATGGTTCCAAATCCCCCATCAATGGTTCCCCCACACTCTGCAACAACAAGAAAGCCGAGATTTCAGGCTTCCAGGAAGTATTTTGGGTTCTTCTGAATGTATTGGAACTGTATGATGTAATGTCATGGCGTATTACACCACCTCCTGAATTTCTGAACCTAGCCTCGCTTATGCTGAGGTCACATTTCCGGGCTGTTTCGATTAACGAAAAATGATTTTTTTTAAATCAAGAATATAGGCAGATAGTTCCCATTATTTTTGCGCTTTGTTGTCTTTTATATCATACTTTTCGTTCCATATATAAGACTGCCCGGCCGGGCCCCGGTTTGGAAATGTGACCTCAGCATTACATGCACTTAATTCAATATGGCGCGTGCGCATGCTGGGTCACTAGCAATCAACTGTCACCAATCACCCACCTTGCAACCTAAGCTATTAAGGCAAGCAGACACACAACTCCACAACCCAGCCGCCCAAAACCGTACATGGAAGTAACAGATACAGCGTATGAAACCTTACGTTATTACATAATGACGATAAACTTCGTTACACAACAATGTAATAAGGAACAATAAACATACTATGAGATTAATCTACCTTACAAAGACTATGTTGTATGGGATGATAATGTTCTTTTACAACTATGGATGGAATTTATAACGTTCATGTTTTAGATACATATTATTAGTAAATTTGCTATTTCAATTCTTTTAGAACAAGAATTTCGAGATTTCATACCTCCATGAAATATGGGCTTAATATGTAAATGTAAATTTCCTCTTTAATTATGCAAATTACCTCCGCATTAACATGATATATGCATCGTGATGTATGTTAACTTTTGATTAACTTACAGATGTCCCAAGTATGACATTCCCATTATTCAACATTAAGAAATCATAGAAAATTTGCATAAATTATGCAAACTAGGTCATCATTTGCATAATTAGTATCTGTTGATGTTCTGCCTGCCATAGGTTACATACATTACATGTATGAAAGTAGTATAATGTAAAACACTGTAATCATAGAATTTCCTCATTAATTATGCAAATGAAGTCCTCATTTGCATAATTGGCATTTAATCATTTACATCTCTCTCTCAGCTACCTACACACCAAAAATTATGAAAATATGTTGTTCCTATCTGGACTTATTGGCTTTTAAACATTTCGCCAGAAAGTGCCCTGCAGTTCCAGAACAAGCTGCTAGGGGGACCAAACTCACACCACTTATTCCTGTAAGGAAAAGCAATCTGTCACCCAAACATCAAGACCATAGCATGTTCAGGACAAAAGATACAAAAACCGGAAGTTCTGCTGCAGTACCAAGGTCATCCACCAGGAGGCCCATATTTGACCTTGACGTTTGTCTTCCTAAGACTTACCAACATACCAAATATCATCATAATCCATAAAGGCGTTCTGAAGTTATGCTGACCACAAAGTTGCGGAAACACACACACACAGACAGACACACACACATACATACATACATACATACATACAGACAGACACACCAAAAACAATACCTCCATTTTTCATGGAGGTAATTAAACGTATCAAAATATTTAGGGCATATAATGAACAAGGCATACTAGTATTCGTCTTTAATCAGTTCTGGGCAATATGGGCAAATCTTCTGATCAACAGGTATTTTCTGGAATTTGAATATGTCTGTTTGGGTGATGAAACATGTACGTATCACTATCTTATCCTCGTCTTTTCAGGCTATTGTTACTCGTATACAACATTTATTCTCACCATTTGCGTCTCGTTTGGCGAGGTCAGCATCCTGTACCTCCACCCTGTAATGAAACATACAAACACGACACGTTATGGATCATTTAACCACTGTCCAGACGGCATCTTTCCACTGATGGCGATTACTGACCGACTAGATTTTTGTGACTCTTGATTTCATGATTGAAATAAGATTCTTGATGCAAAATTAAGATGTAAAAGACAAAAATACACAAAATGTAAAAGAAGGCATTGTCGTTCGTTGAGCGATCTGTTAACAAAATGTACCTGTCAACAGTTGTAAACAAACGACAACATGTAGAAGAAGCATCTTATGATAACGGTTATTGTTGCCTAAATCTAATGTAGACAATAAGTTTATAATATCAAATAGTAGTCAGAAATGAAGGAGGGGTACGCATATTCGGATTTCGTCGGGTCATTTGTGGCTGTTTCTGAATTTTGTTAACTTTAAAAAAAAAACAAGGTAAAGCGAATTCTCCTGTGAATCATTTCTAGTTGTTTCATCACAGTTAAAGAGCAAGCAGAAACGTAAATTATTCGGTCTTATTCAAGTAATGTTTCTAATGTAAGACCACGCCCTACCGTTGATAAGTTTACCATTGAAATCATGTTAGCGTCATGATGGTAGTACTGTACATACAGGTGTCTATCTGGGGACAAGGGCATGCACAGTACTGCTTGTTGTCCGTCTTAATCTTACACTTTTCCTGATAATTCGCTGTTGTTAGTATACTTGTTTGTTAGTGTCGATGTTTGTTTATATTTTACGTCACCACCAAAACAGTAGTAATTAAACAAATTGAGTATAAATCAATCAGTTCTATTGTAGTAAATATCTCAACCTTCCCCGTTTTTCACATTTTCGGGACGAGGAAATTTCGACCCAAATGTGTGGAATCATCATCCCATTGACTGACATATATGCGTGGCCTCAGGGATGAAATACAGGCGGACCACGTTCTTGAACATTTTGCCGTGTGTGTTAATGGCGCTCAAATTCGTCGTAGGCCGTCCTAGAATGTTCAAGCAGTCTGTGACAGATTAAACCACAGGCAAAGATCGGAGACAGACTTCTCCGTCAGAAGACAAGCTGAATTTTGAACGACACATCTACGATTGCCCCCAAAATGTCTTCTGTTTGCGATCGTGCGATATACGAGTACGTAACCGGGTTCTAGTAAAACCAGCACTGTATCTGTCTACGAAAGCCATGTAACGACAGTAAATTGAGGGCATTCTTGTGAGTCATAGTTGTGTAGCATTAAGTTGTTGTTGTTGTTTTTGAGACGGAAAACGCTGCCGTCGATTCTAATTGCGGTTGGTTCGGTCATGCTAAAAATCCTACGCCACAAAAAGTCACTGAGCAACCAGCCAGATATTTGGTCTCTCAGCGGTCGCAGCCTCTAGTGGAAAGGAGGTGTAACAACGATATAGTGTTCTGCTTACCTTTGGCAACAGGACAGCGCTGCAAATAGTAATATCCCTGCCACAGGCCTCCAGTCCATCTTGCTACTGCTCCCTGATTTCTCCACGTACGGGAATCGGGAGCTGATTAGTCTGAGAAAAAAAGATTACATGAATTAAACAAGAAAAAAAACGGTACAGTGTGCAGTAGTCACTGTGTCGGCTGGCTTGTCACAGCTTTCAATGTGTTTTTTTTTTGCTGATTTATTTCTAAAATAAATCTCTCTTTAAACCGTGAATGAATGCTCCAAAGATAGTATCATGTTAGATAGTGTATCACCAAGACTGTGGATTATTTGTCACTGATCAATCGATAGGCTAGGGGGCGCTGCAGATTGTCTGGCAATTCACAGTGAATAAAAAAACATCAGCGGCATCGCTTGTTCCACGCAAAAAACGTAGGTAGATGACGTCACAGCCTACGAACGATCCTACGCGCCCATTGGTCACGTATCTGTTCTCGCCAATGTTTGTATTTGAGAGTTGTCAGGACACACTCTGAAGCCCTTTGATATAAAATGGAGCCCATCACCCCTCCCCTCAATAAAATGTCCCCATATTTTACGCCACAGGGCGCAGTAACCACACCCGTGCGAGGGCGGATGAATACTAGTATCATTAAAACATAGAGCTGTTTGTCCCTGCTTCTGGTACGTGTACACGTGGAGGTTTGCAATGGCTTGACAGAATTTCACATCTTCTAAGAAGTGCAGTGATAGATAGAGCTTGAAAGTTTCTTGGAAAAAAAGTAATGGCGGCTTTGGTTGAGCATTTCATCCACCAACCACGCACTGTCTTATCGAGATCGGTTATCCAATAACAGTCCAGAAAATATCAAAGCGTTTCGTCGGGTAGAACCAATGTTTTCACTTTCCACTACACGGCGGCCCGGATTTGTGTTGACCTTGGACCTTTTATAATCGGAATGTGCGCACAATAAAAGTATCATTTAAAAGACAACAATTAATAAACCACACAAAAATTCTATATCTTTAAAATTCGTTGAGCGACCAGTGGAATATTTTGTCGCTCAGCGGTCGCAGCCGCTAGTGGAAAGACTATGTAGTAAAATAGCAGTCTTCTTTTCGCCATTTTTGTTGTACGAGCCACGTTTGATACTGCTGTATAACGTTATATGTTATGTCCGTAATGTACATTCTAACGAGGGTGATATACTGACATATTGACGTCCAGTCCATTTAGTTCTAATATTTCAAAACAGGAATATTGACGAGTGTTTACAGGATGGGTGGGTTGTGACACGTTGTCGTGAATATTCAAACGTTAACAGCGTGTTTCCAGACTAATTTTGTGTTTCTGGGAATTATTCACGTTTTCCGTGTGCGTCACTGTACGCCTACATAACAAGGCACAGGAACCCTCTACATACAGCAAGAGAAAGGAAAATGTACGTGTTTACTGTATGTGGTTTCCTGCTCCTACAGCATACTTTGTGGTAAGTATCTGCTTCCTAATCTATAGCAAGTACTTAACGGAATACAAAATAGATCAAGAAACTGAAGAGTCAGACGTCTGAGATAAGGTCCACTATGTTTCACCAGTGACTAAAAGTGAGGGAGACTCATTCTCGCTCACTGACGAAAGACTCTTCAGAGAATGGTTACTTCCAATTACCCTATTTTGTATCGATATATCACGTAATGTTCTACCTGGATGTCTAAAGTTTATTGCCGTAGAAAGTACTGTAATTTTCCACAAGTTAAATGAAAGCTGTTGAAAATGCCAACTGACGCGAACCATATATGTATATTGCTGATTGATACATACATGTTTCGAAAATCATTTTTCTACGCATCTTTAAGTCTATATTTTGTTAACGTGATGTTGGTACATGACATGTGATGATATATAAATTTGCTGAAGTTGCACTTGATTTACAGACAGGTCTGGGAGTATACAATAATCGATGGTTTAGGACGTATGTATACAATGCGTCTTTTCTTTAGAATGGCTGTTCCTTATACTACCGATGGTACTTGGAAAAGTTTTTCAAGGATGCACTGCCAGGGGTATAAATGTATGTGAACCTGGCGTAAAACATCACCAAATGTGATATGATGTTACTTCATGTGAATATGTGACAGGGAGAATATTTGGAGACGTGAATCGTGAAATGGTCACCATGACTAAGCGGACGCCATTTTGCCAAAATACCCTTTTTACTCACTGACTATTTCTTCGATTCCAGTTAAAACCCATCCACGATTTACACATCATTAGAATTCACAAAAAGTCTTTCCCATAGTTATAAAAAAAATGAAAAAAAAACACCTTTCCCATATTTCCTAGTCACCTTACTTTTTTTCCAGATTTTTCCCATTCAATTCACACGAAGAGCACTCTCATACACTTACAGTGAAAAATGACCTGGTGTAGCAGATATTTTTAGGGTGCAAACCGTGCAATACTACTGTTTCTACAGGTTTGCCATGACTGAAGCTGCCGGTCCTGCGAACCTCACCCGGGCGTCACGGATCAAACGGGCGCCTCTTTATAGTAAGTCTCTCACACGCCTTTTCAAAATGGTGGACATGTTCTAGTCACCAGCCAACTCAACCATGAACTGTGTGAGTTGGCCTATGAGTTAACCGCCATAGAATTACAATTTGCAACCAATGGACAAATCTACATGTACGTACGAGTATCTGCCAAAAACTGACCCGGCCCTCTGATGAAATATTTTCCCTCTTTTGGCCAATTTCTATATTAGGCCAGTCCGCCAAAAGGTCTGGACGAGATCTAGATTTTATGTGTTAGTGTCACCTGCTGGAAAGACTAGTTGTGTAGTTTAATATAATGTGTTTCGTGGCTTTTTGTAAGTAGCAAACAAAAGCAGATGAAGATCAAAACGGCTCTTGCTCGACAATACATGCAGCTGAATGATTGACACAGTCCTTGACCCCGCCGATCAAAACACGGCACCCTAAAATTAACCATTAAGCATTGCGGTAAACATACAGGTTAAAGGTTAATTTATGCACGGTCTCACCCACTAGGCTGTGGAGGAGCGCTCCTGGCGGGTTGGGGGAATATCACATCACCTGACTTCCCGATGGAGTACCCACAACACGCACGGTGCCACTGGACTGTCGAACCACGCGATCTCAGCAGGTAGTTAACCTTTTTAACTAGAATTTGCTCAATGCAAGGGAACAAAAACCTTTTGGGCACTGGACTAAGTTGTTGGGGGGGGGGGCATATGTGACTATGCTAGAAGATGGGTTTTGAAGGCTTGAAGGTTGTATTCAGGAGGGAAGCCCTGGTCAGGAAGAGTGGTCTATGATTTTGGAATTACATGTAGAGATTGGCACTTGGACAGTGTTATGATGTGAGCTAGAAGAGAACCGGATAGTATACCGGAAAACCTACTTGTGTGGATATAACCGTTACACGCTGTCAGTTACTTACTTGACGTTCTATTCCAGGGCCATTCTTCTCTCCTTCGAGTCCTTTGATGTCGAGTCGGACCGGGTGTGTTCCTACGACTCCCTGTTCGTCATCCGGGACAAGGCGGAAAACAGTACCTACTGCAATGGCAACGAACCTCCGCCAGAGGGCCTCGTGGGGCGACACTTCGACCTTACGTTCCGATCAGACGGCTACCAGCAGCACAACAAAGGGTTCTTGATCTCCTACAGCCCTGTGGACAACCTCGACTCAACCACTGTTTCAACAGGTACCATGTTCTCTTTATTACAGCCATCAAAGTCCATCCTAATTTTTCCACGGTAACAGACAAAAAAACTGCTCACAGAACCGACACATTGAAAAAAGAAGTGTGATCTTTCGTCACCGACTGTTTCACATAAAGTGGTCAAACCCAACAAGCTTAAGTCAGAATCTAGAGTCAGTATTTTGTTGTGTTGCAATATTATGTTGCTCGTCCTTGTTTTTTTTCCACGTTACTTGACATTAGCCTATGGACAAGAATTTGCAATAAATTCATTATCTATTATTATTCAAAGCACTTTGGTGGGAGTTAAGTATAAGATCCTTGACTTGACCTGCCTTATTCGGGGAGTATTGATATCATTGTACAAGTATACCAAATGTGGATATTCTACATTTATTTTCTTCAAATACAATGCACAGGGAGGTGGGGCATACTATGAGGCTGATGGCATTACTGATACTGTACTTGGAATTAATCCACAACTTATATGTTTCTTTTATCAGTTGCACTCGGCAAGACTTGGGCCCAGAGACCTACAGAAGTACTGAAAGGTACAACAGACGAGCCGCCTACAACTGCACGCCTGATAGGGAGCATGTTCACGGTCACAAACAAAGGGACGTACACGGACAGAAACATCTACACACGTAACGATAGCAACGTACCTAACACAACCGTACCTTTTACTACTCAACAGCTGCTGTACACCACTAGAACACCCGTGCTATATAACACAACCTCCCCGGTGTTCCCAACACCAACACACTGGCCTAAACACCACACAAACAACACGCTTTCAGTAACACATTATACACACCACGCGGTCCATGGCCAGTCTACCCCATACATACAGAATGTATCTACATGGATAACCGACGCACCAACAGTCGCCTCTGGAGTATCTACAGACAGGCCCGGCAACCCTGAGTTAAGTACCGTGCCATCACGGATGTTCACCGCAAAAGAAACCATCGTCGGCGGTATCGTCATCGGACTCGTGCCGCTGTCCTGCGCCGTGGTCCTCCTGGCGCTCTACCTGCGGAGAACGAGGGAGAGGGACTCGGCGGCCGCCATCATCCAAGCCATCACCTTCATGGACGAGACGATCATTAAGATGGAGGAGTCGGTGGCGTCGGAGGAGGCGGAGAAGGATGACGTCCAGCCGCCGGATTCAACTGGTGAACTGAGAGGTCACACCTGCCCGGGAGGGGGAGATAACACACCTGATGACATGGCGAAGAGCGTGGATACTCAGCCAAAGCCATGCCAAGATCATGCCAGCAATGGAGAGGCTTCGTCACCTGCAGTGTCAGAGACCCAGCTGATTACCAAAGACGCCGTTGTACAATCAGCCCACACCGCAGCGACCTGTAGCGATGAATGGATGTCGTACCACCCAATCAGTAACAAGATGAAGATCAATGTCAAGCACGAAAAGGTCAACAACAGGTCATCACTGGCGGGAAACGACCGACCAGACGAGACGGAACGCGAGCGCATCCAAACGAACGGGCAGGCAGCGAGTCCAAACGACCAACATAGACCAGAAGGAGACCGCGCAGCTGTAAGCCCTACACCACGGGAAGAGTTAGGAGGAACAACACGGGATAAGGCCAAAACGTCGAGAGGGGCGGGCCATAGAAGTACTGGGACCCAGACGGACCACCCTGGTTTGACCGCACATGAATGCGTCGACACTCTATTCATTGAAAACGGGACGACAATGCCTAACAGTACTAGTACCACCGTGCCTCACTGCAGTCTTACAGGAAACGCTTTGGCACTGGACAGAAGATGTCATCATGGAAATGAAGGATCTCTCGTGTTGCAAGAACACGCCTTTTCCACTTTAGAGCAGGTGAAGGAGATGTCTCGGATGTTTAAGGATGATGAGGAGGACGAACTGTGTCGGTGTAGCAGCCTCCCAAGACCCATGCTGCATTCTCAGCCGCCAGGAAAACTATCAACTGATAAGCTGGGCATGTTTGACTCATCACTTGGACGGAGCAACAGCTCTAGTTCGAGCGACACTAGCCTGAACTGCCTCTCGTTCGAAGATGGAAGCAAGTTATGCAGGGAATGGTCCTTCTCCACCATACCTCTCACATCCTGCAAGGGGGCTTGCGGCGGCCATAACAAATGCCGCGTATCTAACTCGGAAGGGTTATATGGCACGCCCAGACGACTGAGTACAAGAGGCTACCCTGATGGGAAAGAAGATGTACTCAGCAAAAAGCTGGATCCTCCCCTTCCAGCTAAAGTCTACCAAAGGAATGTGTACACAAAGACAACCGTGTCCGATAAAGTCAGCCTTCCAAACGGAGATATAGAGGAACACGTGACGGTTTCCAGCGAAGAAGACTACACATCACTGACAAGTCACGACAGCGTCGAAGAAGACGTGTCCATATCTATCCACCATAAGACTACAGAAATCGTCAAGCTATTTGACGGCGGCCGTGGTAGCCCGGAAGTCACTGAGCTCGTCGATAGATACAGGACATTTGATGAAAAGTCGAGGTCAACCATCGAGAGACAGACGACAACAGAAAAACGAAGTTTCCCTACCAGTCCCAAACAGGGTTGTTCAAAAGCAACTGGACACCAATCAGAACACACATCCGCAACTCTGGACCAATCAGAACACGCATCCATCACGCAGACTCTCACACAGGACACCGGGGTGACACAGACCCCAGAATGCAAAAACACGACTGGTGATTCGCCCCATGCGGAGACATCTAAGGTTGTCAAAAAAGTCGTGAAGTTCAAATTTCCTCCTTCAAGAGAACAGCTTCTGGAACAAAAAAGCCGCTTACGGAAAGTAGTTGTCCCTGAGAAAGGTCATAAAAAGTCAAACTGATTTAAGAAAAAATTCAATGTTCTTTACATTTCACAAACACACACACATACACATACACACACACACACACACACACACACACACACACACACACACACACACACACACACAGACACACACACACACACACACACACACATACATACATACAGAGACACATATAGACACAAAAACACAATCTTTCAAATTTTTTTAAAGACATCTGATGTTGTTGAGATCTTAGTTTGAAAGTTCTCCTTGTGATTTTTGACAATTGAATGTTCTGTGGTATACTAAGTATTTTGACCTGATTTGGTGTGGTAGCTTTATATCTGCTTTTACCCTTAAAACGTAGCACCTTCTAGTACTTAATGTATTCGATGTGATCAATGAATGATAATGTGAAGGCGGGCGATGTCCTAGATTGATTGTGCACGAAGAGCAATGGTAAATATAGGAGCAAAATTTATCTTCTCTTTAATCACATTGCAATGACATTATTAGTTCCTTTGACAGGTTTCAACTTGCACTGTTACATAAAGGCATATAACAATTGCGTTTGTTTTACTTGAAGAAAAAAAAAAGCAAGTACACGGAAGGTTGGATCACTGGTTTTTATTTGCTTGTACTAAACACAATATTCTGACATTGTACACCGATTATTGATCATAGCTTCAACGCAGGGTGCAGAGATTGTGAATATTTGTACATGCCCAAAGAATAAAAGTACCGAAATCTCCAAACTAGTCATAGCAGCATCTTTGATAAAATAATTATCTGACTGGAGTGAAACACTTCCTTTTTATTCCTTTCCTGATCTAACGGTAAATTTGACGTCCCCACCTTCTGTCTGCCCTACCCCTCTCTTTGCGGGCCAGATCAAGTCCTATCAAGTAACTCCGTCACAATATATATAGTGTAGATTATGTCATGATTATCATCAGAGGCGAATGCTAATGTTGGTGAATTGCATTATGGAACAATTAAACTGTTCTTCAACTAAAAAATGGATGTTACTCCTCTTCAGTTTTCTGACCCAATCAGATGGCCCACGTGCATAAAGTCGAAAACTCTGGTGAGTCCATTGTTCAGTTGGAGAACAGATTAATTTGTCCCATGATCTTCATCCACTTTGTTTCCTATTGCACACTAGTGCCGCACTAGTTCTTCCTACTTCCACAACAGACTAGCAGTGATGTCCCTATCATGGGACGCTACAAAACTATTCGTCGATGGGCACATATGCACACCAGTGTCTTTGACTTTGCCTCGCATGTTTGTGTTTGATATCATTCATATATCAACAAATTTCAAGACACCTGTTCATTTCAAAACCTCCAGAAACCCATTCCTACAAGTATGCATTGTTACCGTTTGCTGATTCGTGTGCAAAAGCCGAGAATTAACATGACTTCACGCGGCCCGGCTGTGTGCTCGCTAGTCGCCTACGCGCGCAGACATTCATGATTTAATCGCTTGCCATGTTTGGGCGGTTGCTATGGAAATAATGCATCATTAGACAAATGCCAGATGTGCACATACAAAAATACATTACGTTATATCATATCATACAGACTATTGTTTAGATATTTTCAAGGTTTAACGTGTCATGGGAAACAAAATGAGCCAGAGGCTATGGCTCACTATGGGCTCCACGAATTTCTCGTCGGATTTTGGTTTGAAACAATATGGCGGAGCGCTAGGATGGCTGGCAGTAAATCACTCGATTTGGTTCTGTCTAAAACTGACAGTTATGAAACCATATATAACCAGAAATTAGATCATTAAAAACAGTTGCTTTATGGGTGACCTTTAGATTG